TATTTAGAACTACTGAAAATATTTACTAACAATTTTTTCTAATTCACGTAGTGATGAAATTCGCAAGCACTTTTACTTATTCCAGCCCTTCACTTGAAGGACGGACGACGATTAACGAGGAAGGAAGACAGATGACTTGGGAAGTTCACAACTCATCTGTCAACATAGGCCTCCCCCAACGAACGGCACAAAACACGGTCGTTAGCCACCTGCATCCTTCGACTTCCTGCACGTGTTACCAGGTCTTCATTCTATCTTAGGGGGGGAGGCGGGCCACCTCACACTTCACGTACTGACAGGATGCTGACACTCGAGAAACTTTCTTCCCCGTCGGTTGTCGGTTCTTCGAGCTATATGGCTGGCCCATTGCCACTTCAGCTTACTAATCCGTTCACTTCTAAGTCTATCACGCAGAGAAACCCCGAGCATAGCCCTCTCCATAGTTCTTAATACAATGATATTTATGTTTTTATTTACATTTTAAGTGACCTAATGGGTGAGGGAGGCAGGATCTTACCTTATTTAGGCATTGATAAGTAGTATGCTTTTATCAAAACGTTATCCGCCCACTAGGAATTTCTCGTGTATCATGGAGGCATTTAAAAATTCTTTATATATTATAAACATTACATATGACAGTTGTTTGTCCGCGATGAACTTCGAAATTACTTAACTGAATTTAATGAAAGTTTCTAAATGTGTATTGCTTGCTCCAACTTGAGAGATAGAATAATTTTTATCCCGATAAGTGACCCCTAAATATTTTTTATAGTAAATTTAAACATTTTTAAAAGACAAAGGGTTGTCGGAAAGGGCAGTACAAAGTCTGCCTAGCCAGCTAGTGTAATATAAAGTATACAGTTTATTATATAATAGTCAAATATTCATATTGTATATTAAGATAAATAATAAGGATTGCAATGTATGTCACAATTTCAGTTCTTATTATTTTGTACATGGATTTTAACATTTAAATCGAAAGCTGCCAAGTAATGTTGAAATTACAGTATGGTGGGTGAAATGACATTTAGTGAAATTCGCTGTTTTGAAAGGCATAAACATTCGCATGGTCATTTATAATAACATATCTATAAATATTTAGTATATTAATGATAATTTTGTTGTTTTTAGTATAAATAAGATACTCACAATATTTCTTGTCGGATGAGATCCTATTCCTCCTCCTTTCTCTTGGCACGGGTCTCCTCTTCGAAGTGGCCGATCTCACTAGACTTTCGATTATCTCATCGTCCGCTGTCATGTCGCCGCTGCGGAATAAACCATATGGTAAAGTAATAAAGTATAATTTGTTAGTAACACGTTGATTAGGGGTCAGAAGACAAGTTAGGAATAATGACCATACTTCTAGACTGGAAAACCATACTAAGTTATCCTTCTTTTTTATCCACCAGTAATTATATTTTATATATATATATATATATATATATATATATATATATATATTCATATACCTAATATAGATTCTTTACCGCCGCGCCGCCACCATTTGGCTTTTGTATTCAACATTTTATGTTAAGTGACAAGATACACATCCAATGGAAAGAATCATTTAAAAGGAATTTATAAGCCGATGCCATTAGGCAAATTAAGTTATGTTTAACTTACTTAATGAGATTCTTTCTAAAGCTGGTCGGTTGCGACTTTCGCCTTCCTTCAGTCAAGCTGTCAGTCTCCGGGTCGGTCTTGAGCAGTTCCTTCAGTGCGCTATCTGCTACATGGTCTCCGTTTTTGTTGGAGTAGTTACCAACCTGGGTAAAGAATACACATAATAAGTATATCTAACATATCAACATAAGAAATTTGCGAATTTAAAGGATATAATATATTCATTAATAATAAATAACATCATCATCACTCTTACAACCCCCATCATAAGTCTATTGTTGAACGGACCTCTCCCATAAATAGCCACAAATTATTGTCCTCATGATGGAGTGTCGACTCTCACTCGTTCGTACATCCATCATTTCTCATCGGTTGGCTTCCTTTGAGTTATATTCTAAGGACATGGCTAGTTCAGTCAAATAATCCGATGAACTTGAGCTATTTTTTTTTTGTAATAGAAGAGCTTTTCGAGCATGCGATTCATTTAGGCTCAGTGACCACTGCCGTTTATTAACATCGGCAATGCCAGAGGAATAGCAGACATTTTGCCGCCCATTTGAAGAAATAATGTGCTCGTTTTTGAATGTTACTATTCTATTCTATTTTCTACTTAGTAGACCGTCTGAGTTGGTACTAGTGATGCAACAGTTTCAACTGATGCTGTTTCCGCAACAGCGGAAGTTCTTTTTGACATCCGTTTCTGCTTTTGTTTCCGCAACCTTAAAGCTGAGAACAAATTATCGGACGCGTCCGTCAGCCGCGGCTGACAGTCGCGGCTTAGCGGTGTGCACGGTAGTTAAGACGGCGTCTTCGGACGCCTCACTTCAGTCATTCTATAAAGGTGTTTGAATCGAGAAACACGACAAGCAGCGACAGCGAGGACGAATTTATAGAGCTAGCGGCAGCTGCCTTATGTTGTCCTCCAAAAAAAAAAGTGAAAAGGAGTGTTTGGGTCCATGATATTAATGTAAAACGATTCGAGTATGATGAATTTCATACATTGTATCCAGACTTACAAAAAGATGATAAACGTTACAAAATGTACTCAAAAATTAATGAAAACCAATTTAATTTTCTGCTTAGTCTGATTGAAAATGATGTTTAATTCAGCAGCAATTTGCACCCACACTCCCTGTTTTAAAGTAGCATTTATGTGGCCACGAACACATTCAATTAAATTTTTTTCGTCTGACATGTCGCGAGCGCGGTCGGTTCGTTTGTGACGCTCGAAACGTCCGCGGACGCGTCCCGTGGCCTGTGCACACCGTCCGAGGACGCAGAAATATCCAGCCGGCTAGATTCTATTGGGACGTCTGAACGCTCAAGGACGACCCAAGGGCACGTCCGCGTCTTACGACCGATAGTTTGCACAGTGTAGTATTAAATGTACTGGCTAGATTCAAATAAGCTGCGTCTGTCAGCCGCGGCTGACGGACGCGTCCGATAATTTGTTCTCAGCTTTATAACGGAAATTTTGGAAATTTTTAACGGAAATTGTTTGTAAATTGCTTCCATGAGACAGGACAAAACCATAGTGTGGGGGAAATGTTTAAAAAAGTTAAGACCAGCGAGATTCGACTACAAATAACGCGACTAACTATTAACTTTTGTAGGCATAGTCAGTCACACTTTCAGGAGTACAAAAAGGAAAAAAAAAACAATTGCCTGTATACATCATGAACACCTCATGCGGTGGAAATCAAATTGTAAAAAAATTGTACTTTTTACATATTTTCATATTTTCACTTCCGCTTCCGCGTCTGTTTCCGTTTTCGTTTTATTTTGTGATATAATTTACTTTTGACATCTGTTTCCATTTTTGCTTCCGTTATGACACTTCCGTTGCATCACTCGTTGGTATCACCAACTTGCCTATTTCTACCATATAACAGCGATGCAACCACTGTACCGGTTGGAAGTGTGAAGGACCCAATATAATAATAAACTACATGCTGTGAGGGATTTAGTTTAATTCCGTAGAGGTAATAACGCTGTTGTGATGTTTCATGTGTCATGGAATTGAAAGGTATTCAACAGAGACCCAGTCCACTACAAGATATTCCGTTTTGTTCTAAAGGGTGAAAATACATCTGAATTTATAAAATTTTTGATGGAATTTTGTAGGGCTGCAAGAAACTCTGTCGGTAATAAACGGACATACTAAGCTGTACTTATTTTATTCGCTATATTTTGACTGTATTTCAACTAAAATAATTATGTGAGGGCAAGTATTACTTTAAACGCGTCTTACGCAGAACGACGGTAATATTTTTGGGTGTTTGTATAAAGGTATATTTATCTTATCTTCCTCTTATATAAAAAATTAATCGCTGTCCGTTAGTCTCGTTAAAACTCAAAAACGGTTCGACCGATTTTGATGAAATTTTTTGTGTTTGTATGCCTCCTTTGTCCCTCTTTTGTTGGTTTAGAATCACATTTGAACCCAGTAGGTGGCGCTGTTGCCGAGATCCAGTAATCACAGTGTCATGGACGTGTCACTTTATTAGTTAACAACAATGAGATCTGCAGTTAAGTTCTTGTTTTTAAGTAACACGTTACTTGTTTTCTTTGTTATCGTATTCGCCTTAAGGCGTAGTAAGCCCACGAACCGAACATTTTCACCGGTTTCATTTAGCATACCGATATCGTTGAAATTATTGCAATTATGACTGATTGATATACCGTGGAGCAATTCACCAAAGGACAATATACAAAGAATTTTTTCGAAGAGCGACGGAAATTTTGTTATATTTTTAAAAGTGGTAAATAAAAGAGGGTCACAGCCAGGAGTAATTCCAATATAAACTTTGATGCATATACTTACATCAATAATCATTTTGCCCCTCGTCTTATTCCTCTCTCTGTGGTTTGCTCGCTTTTCCAATTGCTGAAGTACCCTCTCTCTTGTGGTTCGATACTCCAGAGCGAACTCTGCTATCACCTTAAGGAACTCCGATGGTTTGGTCTTCGATATGTCTCCGGGAGGAACACCGAGGAAGAGTAAGAATTTATTGTACCTGTAACAAGAGAAACAGTCTTTGCCTATATGAAACATTTTGGCGTGTACAAACGAATGTCACATATACATGTGCGTATCAAACGAATTGTTAATTTATAAATAAAATTGAAGGTCGGTCTGTAAAATTAAATAACTGACTTTAGCATAGATGTACGCTACGTGAGAGCAACGTGGCAGCTATAATAATATGCTGTCAGTACGTTACGGGACGGCTACCAGCGTAAATAGTAGCGTAATGCTGCTTTGTCTTGTACGGTGGTATTAGAGAACCGAAGATCCGTATGTAGTAATGAGTTTTACTATACAACTCACGCGTGACAACACAACATCGATCTATTATCTAAATTTTCATTCTTAATCGAAGATAGTTGTAGGTGTCTATAGGGCGCAGCATGCACTCACCATCAGGTCACCTGTGTGCTCGTTTATCACCCTTATTTTATAATAATGAGATTATTCAATAAAAAATATACTTATTTCCTTGGAGATGGAACAGAACACTGTACGGATTTTACACGAATTTACACATTCAAGCGTGTAAGATATTGATTGCATATTTTTAGCTAGAATCTGGTAACAATAAAAATTGAACACAATGCTGGTGACAGAAAATTTTAAATGACATTTCGTCAGATAATGGCGAACGTAAAGATTAAACAACGTAAGTTTCTGCCATTGATTTTTGTAAAGTTTTACAATATTTGACACGTTTCTTAATATTTTATTTGACAATTATTACGCTAATTATTGCATTGTATGACGATAGACATTTAGATAGAGAGTTACCAATAAACAGTATATTAGTATATTATGATAAAAAGCAATAGTTACTTGTAACAATCAAATAATATTACGTAAAATAGCTGCAATTAAATTAATTCGTAAAAATAACCGAATAAAATTATTTCATCGTATCTGCTTTTAAACAGGTTTTTCATGGATTTTTTATTACCTTTACACAAGCATCCTATAATGGTTAAGTGGACAAGGATCTATAGAGCTATACATTTTAGGAGTGGAATTGCATTTCTTTCTTTGTTTTGTAAAGTGTCTTGAGCTTGATGTGACCATTTTTAAGAAAGAACTTGACTTTATTTATACATACATACATATAATCACGCCTCTTTCCCGTAGGGGTGGGCAGGGACCACTTCTTTACACTTGCTACGATCCTTACATACTTGTTTCGCTTCGTCCTCTTTTATTATTCCCTTCATACACGCTCTACGGTTTAGGGTACTCTTGATCTGGCATTTTTTCAAAACGTCCCTGATTTGGTCTAGAAATGTCCGCCTAGGTCTACTCCTTCCAATACTTTCATTCACACTCACCTTATACACTTTTTTCGTCAATCGTTCTTCATTCATTCTCTCGACATGGCCAAACCATCTCAGCATACCTTTTTCAATTTTTGTCACTACTTCTTCTTCCAGACCACAACGTTTCCTTATCTCACTATTTCTTATCCTGTCACTCAATTTAACTCCTATGATAATACTTAACGCTCTCATCTCAACTGCAATTATTCTGCTTTCATGTTTCTTCTGCCATACCCAACTTTCACTTCCATACATGAGTGTCGGAACCAACACCCCCTCGTGCACAGCCAAACGAGCCTTGTTAGACACCTTCCGACTGCTCATAAAGGAGTGCAAAGCTCCATTCACCATGTTTCCTGCATTCACTCTTCTTTCGATATCACTCTCACACTTTCCATCTCTCTAAACTTTGAACCCAGATACACAAACTCTTTCACCTGTTCAATTTGTTCATCTTCAATCACTATATTGCAGTCTGTCACTACCTCATCTTTTTCAAACACCATCACTTTCGTCTTCCTTACATTCATCTTCATTCCCTTTCTAACAAAAGCTCCACTCATAGCAGTTACCATCTCCTGCAACTCCTCGGCCGAAGACGCAAGTAATACTTGGTCATCAGCATAGAGAAAACATTTGACGAGTAACTCATTCATTCTCAACCCACTTTCATTTTCTTTTAAATCTGTCAAACAATTGTCCATGAACAGATTAAACAGCCACGGTGACGCTACACATCCCTGTCTAACACCTTTTTCGATATTAAACCATTCAGTGTATGCCCCGTTTAACCTTACACAAGCACTAGAATCCCTACAAAGAGATTGCAATGCTCGTATGAGGATACTGCTCACACCGTTCACGGACAGTGCTGACCACAATTCATTCCTCACCACTCTATCATAGGCCTTTTCTAGATCCACGAACGTGCAGTAGACCTTCTTTTTTTTTAGCCAAACACTTTTGGCAAAGAAAAGACCTGATCCGTACATCCCATTCCCTTTCTAAATCCCACTTGTGCATCCCATACTTTTTCGTCTGTTTCATTCACAACCCTTTCAATCAACACTTTCGCATACAATTTACCGACGACGCTGAGAAGGCTTATACCGCGGTAATTTATGCAGTCCTGCCGTAACCCTTTTCCCTTATACAATGGCACGATTACGGCTTTGCGCCAGTCTCCCGGTACTTGCCCATTTCGCCAGCACAGATTGAAAAGGCGGTATACCGCCTTTTCAATCTGTTTCAGCTGTAGCTGACTAGCCACCAGGCCCTGTCCAGCCCTCAGCATCTCGACGGTAATCCTGTCATACCCTGCAGTCTTACCTAATCTCATACTTTTCAATGCTTTCACTATTTCATCTATCCTTATCTCATTTTCATCACCATTTATATTAGTTTCCGTGGAAGGTAGCAGATGCTGTACCTGCACTTCCTCTCTTTCAAACAAACTTTCAAAATACGCTTTCCATCTATTTAACACACATTCTTCTCCTTTTATAATGCTCCCATCTTAACTCCTGATTGTACTCAGCTCCGAGGTAGGTAAAACTTAATGTTTGACTGGAAATCTTCAGTGAGCCTCCTATCGAAATCATCCTTTCGTTCTTCTTTCTTTCTAGACACAATTTCTTCAGGCTCGGCCCCTCGGTGGCACCACCGTTTAAAGAGGCCACGCATTCTAGCTATGACCAGGAAGTTGTCTGTGTCGAGGCCTACACCACGGTATGCCCGAGTGTCTAGCACTTTCTTCCTCAGTCTTTCATCTACAATTACAAAATCAATCATACTTTTAGACTCACCCTCATCTCTTGTATACAAATGGATCTTTTTGTGGTCAAACATTGTGTTGGCCACGCACAGATTCCATTCCAAGCATACTTCAAGCAGGCTTCTCCCATTGTCATTTACTCTCTCGTCCCCAAACGTACCCAGAACTCCTTCATACCCATCACGCTTTACTCCAACCCAACCATTAAAGTCCCCTAACATCACGATCCGTTAATTTTCTCCGCATTTATTCAAGACCTCTCTCATGCTATCCCAAAATTCCTCTCTCTCTTGTTGGGATTTTAATGACCCACCTCCACGCAGATCCGTCGGTGCATAGACCCCAAGGATAAACAAGTGAGTGAGTCCGACTTTTAACCTAATCCAGAGGAGTCTTGGGCTTACACATTCATGCTCCATCACACATTTACTTATGGGAAAAAGCTTATGAGAATAATCACCACAAAAGTGAGGATTGATGATTAAGATTATACCTTTAAAAACCTTTTTAGAAATATCTAAGTTTCCTTACTAAAATCAGAATTTTTACTGTCCAGATTTTTTAATAATTTGGGTGACGCTGTAAAACAATTCGTTATTGAAGAAAACGACGATGACGATAAAATTGAAAATAAAAAATTACTTATTGCGGTGATAACTTTCACCTCATCATGACACGCTTTTGTTGGACAATTTTAGTAAGGGGATATTGCTGTCTCAGGCTCCGAGGTGAAATACTGGTTCGTGTTAATTTCGGTAAAGTCAATTTTACTTGAACATGAGAATTGAGCGCTTAAAAGCACGTTTAAATTTAAAAATGCATCAATAATCGTTTTAAGCACTATTCTTATTCTATTTTATGTAATTTTCTTCAATTAGTTTTCGCTGTATGTTAATTTCTAACGAGAGCACTCCTAACTTATTAATGGTAACTAATCTGTAACGTTGTAAATTTCCTTCCTTTTTTCTTCCTGCATCCAGCACGGAGTAAGCGTGAGATATTCGGTGAACACAAAGTTACTTTATTTGAAATGTTATAGCTTATTATCAGGAAACAAAGGATCTAAATAAAAATGTACCCAATGAAGAATATAATTAAATAACATGCTTTTTACACTATCGTAAATTTTTTATAGAGGTAGTTACCGCTTTAAATAACCGGCCAAATGCGAGTCGGTCTCACGCATGAAGGGTTCCGTACCATCGTAATTTATCTTTATTTTTATTATTTGTTGTTATAGCGCCAACCGAAATACACATTCTATGAAAATTTCAACTGTCTACCTATTACGGATCATGAGATACTACAGCACGCTGACAGACAGACGGATGAACGGACCTATGGACAGACGGACGTACGGACAGCGCAGGCTTAGTACCGTCCTGTCCCGTCCCTTTGGGTACGGAACCCTAAAAATCAAGAACTCGAATGTCGAAGTTTTTTCCGGAAGTTAATTTTTTTTCGAATAGTATATTATACAGTATTCCAAAAAATCCATCCGAATAATAATTTAATTGAGTATTGCGCATATTTTTTCCGAGCATAGTATTTCAAGACGAATCAATCCTCGCGTGTCAAAATCGACTCTAGAATACGTTATTTCGTCCAACCTGACCTTAATATAAAATCAGAAATTGACATTCTATCAATCATAATATAAATCAAATAATAAATACTCGCATTGCAAGCAAAATGTCAGTTCGCAGAGCAAATGTTTCGTATGCAGTAGCTAACACTAAAAATAAAATAAAATATAACAATAATAAAAATACATAAAAACGTGTAATTGCGAAAAAAGTAAATAAAATCTTATTCCTATGAAAAATACTTTAAAAAATTCAGCAACTTTAGGATTATGGAGTTGGTTTTAGAATGTATAAGTAAGATATACAATACTTACAAAAAGAAAATATAGATGTAACATACAGTTAATATTAATTTATTTATCTTTGGTGTCTATCAATATAACCAACTTCATGGTTAATCTATGTGATAATTACGTCTTGTTTAATTCCTCTTGTGTATAAGAGGCCTACTCAAAAATATATACAGTCAGTAGTCGAGAGGCGTAATGCACCGGGCATTACGACTCCATTAAAAGTGCACAACTAACCTGCTCATTACCCTCTTCTTAATTACCCCCAACAGTATGATTCTCTCGGCAGCGTCCGTCAAGAACTCGTTGATTTTCGTCTTGAAAATCTGCGAGCCGTCGTGTTTGGCGACACGTTTCATGTGGTCCCACGACGCTTTGCAGTCCGATTCTAATTTCTGCAAGTTTGAGTTCAATACGTCGAAGTCAACTTTTGACGCTCTGATCACTGGTCCCACCTGAAAAAGTAAACTTGAAGATTATTTCATATTTAAATTAATAGTTTTTTTTTCAATAGTCGTCACCACCTATGGTCAAATTTTACATCAATAGCAACTCCGAAACAATTCTTTATAATAGTCATAATATATTCCATGTTACAATAACCAGAAACCAAACTTTTTCCAACATACTAGTTATCCATATGTTATTATCTACAATCTATTTAATTAAGACTATTAGACAAACACATTTTAAAGAATATGCAAATGATGAAAAGGCGGATTGGTTAGTGTAGAACCGGTATCGGTTCTACACTATTCGTAATGTCACTCCACATCGAACCATTGCATTTTGTCTTGACGGTCCATATATACTTTTCAGTATAATGTATACTTATGCCCAGATATAACTTTAAGTTAATAATAAATTTAAATACATTGTAATAAATACCTCGCTAAAAAAGTCGGTGCTCTCAGGAAATTTCTCTATGATCATTTCGCAAATGTGGTACAGCAGAGGATGTTTGTGCACTGTGTCCTTGACTTCCATTACTTTGGACAAGTACTCCAATCGGAAACCTTTCACTTGGCTCCCGTTAAGGAAACTTCCTACAGACCTCAACGTTGACAGTATCACTTTGAATGTTTTATTCGCTTTCAACAGCTCTATCCCTTGCTTTAGGTCCATGAGTGGTTCAGCAATCTCTTTCTGTAATTATGGGTGTGGATAGTACTTAATTAAGTATTTCAACATTTATTTAGTATATAGCATCAGTGTTTATGTTTTTTGTGTGATATTTTAAATATTTAATTGCTACTAACTAGCCCTAGCTCATGACTACCGGTAGTAGTATTTACTCATACTTTAACTTTAAGATTTTTATGCTAAAGTAAATCTTAATTTTAAACGTGGTATAGCCATGCTGCAACTATATTAGTAGTATAGTTGTAGCACGAATGGGTCGGCTCGACCGGGGATGGACCACGCTCTCACAGAATACCAGCGTAAAATAGCAGCTTAACACTGCTGTGTTTCGTATGGTGAGTGTAGAGAACCGGAGACCCTTTTTACTGGAAAAGAGGCATTCCATCTTAGTCCTAACGGGTGACAACGCATCTGCATTTTGATTCGTAAACGAGGATAAATATAGATATCTATGGGCCATAGTAACCACTTACCATCAGGTGGACTGTGTGCTCGTTTGTCACCATATCCTATAAAAAAAAATACCTTATTCACACTGTAACTGTATGTTTACGCAATGTTAAAAAGCAGATGTTACATTATTAGGACGCAAATCGTGAACATCTTACCTCTAAATTATCAAAGTCAAGCTTAAAGACCCAAAGCTTTAGTCTGGAAGATAATTCATTAATTGATGCTAAGGTAAGTAGAAACTGTTCAGCGCTTCCAAGAGGCAAATCAGGGTTTGCGTACTGAAAATAAGTAAAAAAAATAATTTTATATATTTGTTGAAAGTATAAGAGAGAGCCATCGCAGTTCACGGACAATGTTCGCCTTGAAATTTCATAAAACGCGAGCAAACCATTACCGTGAGTATAACCCATGACGGCACCAATGAAATTGTTAGTTATAAAACTTTAATTGCGGTTTTACCACGTACTCGGTGTTAAGACGTTGTTAGAAAATCTGTATTTCTGAGAAATAGTTTCGACGTATGTGCGATATTAAAAGCCTAATAATTAAGACTGTGGACCACGATCTTAAAAGCCTTTAATTAGAATTTAAAATTCGCTATTCGATTATATCGTGAACCACTCCAAACACTTTATGGAGATGACTACGAGGGGCTTATATTGTAGAACACGAATTTGTGTCGTCCCCTCAAACGGTTTAACGAACGAAACTTAGTACTTAATTAATAATAATATCATTACTACTAGTATTTATTTAATAAAAGTTCGTGCACGCTTTTGCACATAAACTGGAAGTTATGAAAGGCCACGTGTGCCCACTAGCACAGTCGCAAATATTTATTTATTTATTTATTTACACACACATACAACATACACAATCATTACAGGGTGAGTACCCTAATTCGACAGTGTAGCCAACGATACAATATGATATGCCATTTTACTGAGCTCACTCAGCGAACATGAAAATAAATCAGTTCGCTCCGACAGTGTTGATCACACGCAGCGCGCGCGTGAACGCGCGTGTGGCACTGCCAGTAACGACGGCCGCCGCCGACGCCCCGCGCTTCCGTCAGGCGCATTCAGTCGCACCATCTCCAACACTCTCGGGCTGTGTATCCCTGATACCCCTGAATACCTTCAACACGTACACAGCGAGAGTGACTTCTCTTCTGACTTCGAGCTTGTAGTACCATACCATACCGAGTAAAAAAAGAGTAGGATACAACAAGGGATATCCCGGGTACACTCCGAATTGCTTTAAGTATAAGAATCTAATAAATTTATTTTGGATCCGCTCTAACATATATTTGTATTTGGCTTCATGAGGAGCCCAAATGACGGCGTTACACTCTAAGTGGCTCCTTACGAGTGCATCATATAGCGCTCTCAGAGCCCCGACATTAGTGAAATTATTTGCAAGGCGCATTATCAATCCGAGATTACGGTATGCCTTTATACATACATTATTTACATGTGATCTAAAGTTTAATTCTGCAGTGAAATGTACACCTAGATCTCTAACCTCCGTTACTCTATGAAGCATCTTCCCGTCCATCATGTATGGGTGATGAATTGGGCCCCTGAGCAGCAAAAGGACAGCACTGAGCATTTAGAGATATTAAAAAAAAGTTTATTATCTATGCTCCATTCTAAAACTTTATCAATATCATGCTGTAAAGAGTCACAATCATATTTATCTCTAATTTTTAAAACTAATTTTAAATCATCAGCAAACAGTAATGAAGTACAAAAATTTACTACATTGGGCAAATCATTTATCATTAAAATAAACAGCAAAGGTCCTAGATTGCTGCCTTGACTAACACCAGATCTAGTAGGGTAGGGTCGAGAAAAATATTATAGAAAAAAAAATATGTGGGCACTTATCTACTTTTTTATAAATTTATAATATTTCTAGTTGTTCGATTATGCTTTAGTGATTTAAAAAAGTAAGGACACAACCTATATACTTTCTTTTTACTTGTTGTTCATTATATTTAGTTTAAGCTAATGTATACATTGTTAACTACCTGTGCTTCTTGAATCTTTACTTTCTCCTCTTCTGTCGGGAGCATTGTTAGGAGTTTCTCTATACCTTCTCTTCCTATAACTGTTGCGTCCATTTTCATGATCGCAGCCTTGATTGTCTGTGGCGTTGGTAATTTTTTCATGGCTATATTAATTGCGTTTGAACGCTTAGCATCTAATATGAGATTTCTCTTTGGTTCCATTAATTTCTGTAAGAAAATGCATTCAGATAAAATGTGAAGAAAAAGACCAAAAAAATCTTAAATCGGAATAAATCATGCTAGTGAATGAAAAGATTAGAATGTTTACTGGTTGCTGGAACTCGATTACGGAATTTAATCCTTAGCAAAATAAAACAACATTATTTTGTTTATATATTAATTGAATTTTATTTTAATGTATAATTTTAAACATTACTTACTTCCTATATTAGTCAAGTGCGCGTACAAAGCAGGTACATGGAAAAATAATAAAAATAAGATTAATCATCACATGTATGATATCGCATAATGTTAATTGAATATTAAAATAAATATATTATTATGTATAAGCGACTTATTTTTTTAATAATGTTTAATGTTCTAATGAAATGTACATGAAATTCTTCTTTCAATGTCATCATCACGATTATCATTATCATCAGCAACAACAGCCTCTCACAAGTTCACTGCTGAACATGTTATGTCTCCTTCAAGGAATGCCACAAAACACATTATATTTACAATTATAATTCTTGGAAATCAATATTTTAATTACATATATTACATTCTATAAAATATAACATTTTCGGAATAGATTCGCATTTGATTGAACAAGTTTTCAGAGTGGTCGTGCCTACATACCTTAATTATTAAATCATTGGTTCTTGACTCGAAGAGATGTTCCAACATTGCCGTATCTAAATTTATTTCCGGAAGTTCATCCCAAATAAAACCACCAACTTTCGACCTTATTGCAACAGGAACTGGATTTTCTTGGATTTCTCGCCAGAATAATTTTACCGTTTTCTTATTTTTCTTTATAGTACTATTATCACATTCCTGTGATAAATCTAAGGACAAAGATCTTGGTGGATGCGGAACAGTGTGCTTGTTCATTGGTGGTAATGAACCAGGTAATGGTGGTGGTATTCCTACAGGTGGGAACATATTTGGGGGAGGAGGTGGTGGCCCATTAATTGAACAAATAGATGGAGATGTCATGTCATCATCAGAATCATGTCTTAAATCCGAAAAGTCTAGATCACATAGATGAAATTCTCTATTAAGACCACCTTTTCTTAACTCTTCCCAATGTAGATCATTTTCTGACACTTTTATTTCATGTACTTTGGGGCTCTTTTCGATGCTCGGACTTTTAACAATTTCTGTAAAATTTTAATTATCAAATGATAAAATATATAACGTTTATTATAGAAGGTTCAGTTATAATTTACTGTGTTACTCTTACCTTTTGACTGAGATTTAGCTAACTCTTCTTTGGCTTTCAAAACAATCCCCGCCATATCAGCTACTCGTAGTTGTTTATCATCTGTAGTTGGACTTGCTGGCCTTGTAAGCATTTGTGCTATGTCTTTAATACTATGTTCCCTATTGATTATTATTCCCCTATCTTCTTTTACTTCGGGTGATGCATCTATCTGTTTCTGTCGTATTACAGCGTATGTATCAACGGTGTTAACGGAGTGACCTAGTGTTCCATTGTGTATTCTTTGTTTAAGCCCAGCAGTGTATCTTTGGTTGCCTGTTATGCAGATTTTAAGTTAGCAACAAATCCATCAGAGTTAAAATAATGTAATTTACAGACAACTTTAAAATATTTAATTTGAATGAGTTTATAGTTGATGATCAAAGGTAACGAGCATATCAAATAGAACAAAACAAGCAATGAAAACAAAACAGTAAAATGCAAAATATTAGTTGGTTAGTAAAGAAACAAACCATTTTTCAGTACATCTGGTAGGTTTGGGCTTCTTGGTGCTCTATTTATAAAAGACCTTTCCTCATCCAAATGCCCATTGATTCCATTGTTATTGTAATGCATTTGGCCGTTTAGTGCACCATTGGTGTTGGTATAACTTCCATTAGAGTTCGGGTAAGTTGCAATTGAGTTTGTAAAATTTCCGGTAGAAGTGGTATATGTTCCATTTGTACTTTTATAATCTCTGTTTATGTTACTGAAGAGACCGTTATAGATATCACTAGAGTTATTCATTAATTCCTGCTGTTGTATAATGTGATGTGCTTGTCTTGCATATCTGTCTCTTCTTCTTTTAAGGGCTGTACTTAGTTCTTTGTTCTCTTTGTTATCAATTATTGTCGGTAGGTATGGCGAACGGATGTTATTGGCTAATTTAGTATCAGGCTCCACATGATGGATGACTGGTGATTTGGCTGTTGAAAGTTAGTAAAAATGCCACAAAGTTTATGCTAATGCGTAACATACATAACATTATCAAACTTTATAGTACAATTATGTTTTTTTGCTAAATTTTATAGGAAAAAATCATGCATATCTATCTGCAAAAGGTAAAGCAAACAAACAAAGGACAATTTAATACAGTGAATAATTTACTTTTCATACCTTTTTCCCTTATTTGTTGGTTTTTAGACTTCCGTCTGTCTGATGTACTGAGATTAAGACTTCTCCGCCTCACTGAAGTAATTACTGAATCATCTAGTTGTCTGAAATCATAAATAAGCAGTAAGATACGTTGTTAAATATATGAGAATATGATAAATCGTAATTTCTTACTCACTTAAGTGCGGTGCCGCTTTCGTCTCCATCTTCATAAAGAAGAACGGCTTCAAATATCTGCAGTTGTCTGAGAAGGTCTAAATCTGTGCCCTGTTTAGACATATACAATTGAACTATATCATCCATTCCCTGATCCTGCAGGGCGTCAACCTGATCGTAATATGTATCTCTATCGGGAACGTTATTAAGACATCTATTTATCAATGTAGTTGCGTATATAAGCAATTCAGTGTCTGAGGCATCGAAATCTTGAAGAATTTTCATAACATTGTACCATGGCTGCCTGCCGTTGGTGTTATCAATAACATTAATGGCATCTATTAGAAGTAGACAATTATTTTCTGTATATTCAACGAATACTAGAAGTAGTTTGAGGGCAGTTTTAACAACGTGCCGAAATTTGCTGGATATTAAGGAATATAGCCACTGGATGCATCGTTTATGTGTCATTACGCCATGCATGCCATCAACATAGAGAAGAATCTAGAATAATAAAATATAAGAGTAATCATGATGAAACAGAAGATCATTAAAGTAGAAAAAATATATATGATCAATATTGCTCACCTGACCAAGGGCTCTCAAAATGTAATCGAGATAATTATGATCTGCCACACTGGCGACCTGCATTAGACAATCCAAGCCCTTATTTGCAACAAATTCATGGACGAGATCTTTGTCGGACTGCAGAATTTGTTTAAGGGTAAATAATGCCCTACGGAGTTCACGGCCTTGCGAATGCAGCAACCTCTCTGCAAGGTATTAAAATTATATACTTATAAATTATAAACAAAGAGCGGAGCAAAGCGGCGTCAAGGAGTTTGTATTACTCTTGGCAGTGTGCTTGCTGAGTATGGTGGTATAATACCTATCAAATTCACCCAACTGCGGAATCCTTACCACATATAAGAAGCTTAACTTTCATGCCAAAATATCATATTTACTATTATAGAATTTACTATTATATATACATATATATATATATATATATATATATATATATATATATATATATATATATATATATATATATGTGTGTGTGTGTGTGTGTGTGTGTGTGTGTGTGTGTGTGTGTGTGTGTGTGTGTGTGTGTGTGTGTGTGTGTGTGTGTGTGTGTGTGGGTATACATCCTAGCAAACATTACATAAATCACTTTATTTAAATTTTATACTACGTTATACAATTTCTATATTTAACAAAAAAATCTGAAACATTTGCATATACTCACAACGCTGGGTTGTTGGTAAGCATAGCGCACATTTACAATGTTAATGCTGTATGCGATACTCTGCTATGAAATTTACATTTAGTGTTCAAATTGTATGTAATTACTCTAAGGTTCAAAAGCTGACTTACATATTTTTCATAAGAACCAAAGAGATTTAAATATATGGGTATACTAACTACTTAAATGTCTTTGATAAGAAGCATATGTAAAACTTACCAATGATTGCATGAACTCTAACTGAAAGCTGCGTCCGCAAAACAAGAGCATTTTTCCGGCTGTAAAATACAAAAAAAAAACATTCATTTGAAAAGAAACAATTATTTGAAATCACACCAAATTAAAAGACAATTATTTGTTGGCAAAAATTTTAAGATTCTTTGTCTACAATCTGAACTCTGGGTGACTGACTACACACCTCTCGGTAGAGTGTAATTGTGTTCTGTGCTACTCACTATTATGTGTTTGACATATTATGCAGTATGCATGTAAACAAACTACAGACCACGGAAGTATACATGTATTTCCATGCTACAGACCTAAATGTGTTTGACATTTTAAGTTTGAACGTAATCAACGAATGTTTTTTATTTAATTTAACGTATTTGTAACACACATTATAAATAAATTTTAGCTTTCTACACTATGCTAAATTTTACGCTCCTCCGTGCGCGCAATATTCTAAAAAGGGAACGAAATGTTCCTTTTACGTATTAATATATAAATTATATGTACGAATATTCCATTCAAGTTTGATAGAAAAGTACGTTTTGACAGCTCATAAATATTTATTTTAATTATTTCAATAATCTTCCAAAGGTTACAGCTGACACTGTACATGTAATTTATGTACTTTGAATATATATATTTTTTAATTCAGTTGTAATTTTTGAACCGTAGGAAAGGTAGTGGAAAGCTAAATGCACTGCTACGGCACGCGCTGTTGAGCGATTACACTGAGACCTATAAGGAAACGGTTTCAGCTTCTGTGCCCGCCGTCCTCGAGCCTACAGCGGCGAGGGCCGTGTAGCGTGTATGACAAACCTACCCTTTCTACTGGGGCCTTATTGGAAGGCTTATACTTACATAATAATACTGCTATTTTGATGCAACTATTTTTGATAGTAGGTTTTACCGACGTTGTGTCCGGCGGAAGAATAAAATTTGTTTTTACTTGGTCATCCAATCTTCTAATTTTATTGGATTTTTATTGATTATGTTTACGCGAACGGAACACATTCAAATGAAACTAGTTATTACAGATTTTATCTCGTCGGAGAAACGTTGGAAATATAAAATAAGTTAGTATCTTTATTAAATTATTCAAGCAATAGGTGTTAGAAATGCGGTATATTAATCTTACTTTAAAAATTTGTTGGATGAATGAAACACCGAATGAGAATATATTTAGTCTTGGTTTTAGCACGCAACGGGGCACGCTTTCACAGAATACCAGCGTAAAATAGCAGCATAATGCTGCTGTGTTTCGTATAGTGAGGCACTCCATCTTAGTCCTCGGGAGTGACTTTTGATTCTTAATCGAGGATAGATGTAGTCTATGGGCGACAAGATCCATTCACCATCAGGTGGACTGTGTTTGTTTGTTACCTTTATTATATTAAAAAGTATTTTAAAAAAAATGACGTCCTCCTGACCTCGTACTCTGTGGTAATTGTAATTTAAGGGACGGACGCACCACGTACGTATCATTGAAATAAAAAGCAGCAAGAGAATCTGTATATGTATAAGATATAAAATATTTGATTCATTCGTTCTGATTCTAGATATACAATGAAACGACTATGCACAAAACTTAAATAAAAATCACATCCGTAAACCAATAATTTCCGATTCTGGCTCCCACTGGCTTTGAACTAGGGCCAATGGTATTACAGCCATTAGTGCAATTGTGTAAATATGATAGGTATATTTTGTTGGTGGGGATCAAAAAAAATTTGTAAGCTACGAAAAAATATCAATATAAAAAGACATCCGCTTAACGCTTAACGATTACGTTACGTTATATTATTTACACATTACAATGAAACCAAAAGTCAAAGGTCGATACAAAGCCGACCACGATTCCCACTTCAATCCCTAAGTCACCGATTTTAAGTTGGATATTTAAAAAAGTAACTATGAATATGTGTTAAGTAGATAATATAAGTATATGAATATAGTATAATAGCTGCAAATCCTTCCAACAAGGGAAGAGACTCATGTCCAGTAGTTGGCAGTTACGGTTTATTCGGATGGATAAAAGAAATAAAATGTATAATAGAGCGAAACCTCATTGGTAAGTTGATACTCTTACCCAGTAAACCAGTAATATAGCTCATTAGTAAAATATATGGCTAATTGTAACTTTTAATATCTTTTTTTACCATTTTATTTAAATGCAAACACAGTTTACACAATACTGATTTGAGAAGCTATGCTCATGCGACTATGCATATGTGTGCATATGTTTTATGCATATTTAGTTTATATAAGGTGCCTTAGTTATTATTCAGATAAGCCTTTTCTGCTGCCAACTTTTTGGAACGAAGTTCCTTATCGCACGGTACGAATTTGACGGATGGGGGCTAGGCGAGAAAAAGTGTAAGATTTTTCCGTCACGACTCCCTTTCTATTCTTAGTCGCAATTTTTCTTATCTTGCACTGAAAGAAATATTATTTTTGACGCTTCATTTTAATAGACGCTAGTATGTTATTTATTTGTATTTGTTAATCAATAATAATATACTACGAAAGGAACTTCGTTCCAACCGAGTGTTCCACGACACTCATGCATGTTTTGTAGCGAACGCCATCAGACGTTCAATTTAACCATCATAACCGTTTAAATTACCTAACTTCTTATCTTTAATTTCTTCAAGAACGGTATCAATAAACTGCCACTGCGCTGGCAAAGATGCATGGCATGGGTGATTAATTTGATTAATAAAAATAAAACATATAGAAAAATATTACGTTAATTATTTCATAAAAATCGCCAATTGCATAGGTAAAAACCTAAAGTTAAAATTACATTTTATAAGTAAGCAGTAGTATACTTATAAAGAAAACAATAACAATAATAAATCATGACTAGTATCTTACCATCAGTCTCATGTGCATGTTGTATGCATAGTGTGTGTTTATATTGAGTGTGGGTGTATGTACGTGTATATGTTCATTTAATAGTTGTATTGTAATAATGTCTCTATTTGTTTATAATTTAAAGAAGATAAAAAATTTGTAATCATATACTTACATTCTAGATAATAAAATTGACTTTATATTTTATTTTGTTCTATTTATTAATACCAACCCAGTATTCCTAATCACAAATAATCACAATATCTCATTAGGTATTGTAATTGGGTAAAAAAATATCTAATTAGTTACTAATACCTACCCAGTAAATACTAAAATAATAAATGGAAATAAAAAGTGAAATGAATAAAAACGAGTACCTATATGTAGTAGCATCGTAAACAGCAAATCCCCCTCAAATTCTTACTAATATTGTTACTAAATAAGGAATAGCAGATAAAAGATTAAGGTACGTGAGGGTAATATGGTCACCTTAAGCTTTGCCGCCCTATAAAACCAAAACTAGGAGGAGGACAGAGACAAATACACAATGTCGTATACTATAACTAATATTGAAAAAAAAAATAACAAACAAGCCTTGGCAATAATTAGCAACACTTCGAAAAATCAAATTAAAAAAACTAACTATAGTACGTGAGGGTAATATGGTCATCCGGTTAATATGGTCACTTTCTTATAACTCAAGAACTACAGCGTCTCATGCATAGAACGCTCTGTGATACGATAGCTCTTGATCAGTCTATCAAATAATAAACGGTGAAAAAGGCGCTGCTTTATCGACGCCATTTTGACAGTTGATATTATTGTAAAGATTTTAGTCGATCTTTGTATTGTGTAGTGTAGTTAGTTCTTTTATGTAAATTTTCTAATTATTCTTTTTTTTGTTGTTGTTTCTAATTATTTCCAAGGCTTGTTTGCTATTTTTTTCCTTTAATATATTAGTTATTGTATACGACTTTGTGTTTATGTCTCTGGTCTCCTCCTAATGTTGGTTTTATAGGGCGATAAAGCTTAAGGTGACCATATTACCCTCACGTACTTACTATAATATCAACTGTCAAAATGGCATCGATAAATCGGCAGCCGTTTGACTCTTTATTATTTGAATGACTGATGAAGAGCTATCGTATCAGAAAGCCATCTATGCAAATTAGGCTGTAGTTTTTGAGTTATAAGAAAGTGACCATATTAACCGGATGACCATATTACCCTCACGTACTCTAGTAATAATTGTTGCTCCTCAAAATGATATTTGACCAAAAACATATCCTATAAATGCTGTTAGCATGTAAGGTTCGAATCCATAATTAACGTTTCAACAAATATTATAATTTACACTATAAAAAGCTAACTCAATATTAGCAATATACGAGTAGTATATAGTTAAAAATAATCCTATTACCTAACCACAATATTTTATATAGGATAGGGTGAAAAAGAGCACACAGTCCACCTGATGGTAAGTGGTTGCTGTAACCCATAGACATCTACATTTATCCTCAATAAAGAATCAAAATGCAGAAGCGTCGTCACCCGTGAGGACTAAGATGGAATGCCTCTTTTCCAGTAAAATGCGTCTCCGGTTCTCTATACTCACCATACGAAACACAGCAGTGTAAAGCTGCCATTTTTGTTCACGCTGGTATTCTGTGAGAACGTGGTCCTTCCCCGGTCGAGTCGACCCATTAGTGCTACAACTATACTTCTAATATAGCTGCAGCATGGCTCTGCCACGTATATCTTAGTGGGTATAGTAATTAGGTAAAAAGTATTTAAGTAGGTATTAATATAGGTACCTACCCAGTATAACTAATCACAATAGGTACCTACGTAGGTATTATGATTAGATAAAAGGTACTTATCTAAATAGTTACCTACTTTTACTAAGTAGGTACTAATACCTACCCAGGCATTATGTAATTATAAGTTATAATTTATAACCAAAAACCCCTACAACCCTTATACTTGTTGATTTTTATATTACCTTTATTATAACCCTTATGTATAAATAAATACAGTTACCTACGTAGGTATGTAGAAATAAAATTAAATAAAAATAAAATAAACATGTTTTTTCATCCTCATCAATCATTGGGGTGAGGATATTATCAGCCAGCATAAGTAATAAGCAGGCTATGTTACAAGGTGCTCAGTTCAGATGTTACTTTTCAATACGTGA